CACCAACCACACACACAGACAGACCACGTCACCACCACCACCACCAACCACACACACAGACAGACCACGTCACCACCACCACCAACCACACACACAGACAGACCACGTCACCACCACCACCAACCACACACACAGACAGACCACGTCACCACCACCACCACCAACCACACACACAGACAGACCACGTCACCACCACCACCACCAACCACACACACAGACAGACCACGTCACCACCACCACCAACCACACACACAGACCACGTCACCACCACCACCAACCACACACACAGACCACGTCACCACCACCACCAACCACACATAGAGACCACGTCACCACCACCACCAACCACACACACAGACCACGTCACCACCACCACCAACCACACACACAGACCACGTCACCACCACCACCAACCACACATACAGACCACGTCACCACCACCACCAACCACACACACAGACCACGTCACCACCACCACCAACCACACACAGACCACGTCACCACCACCACCAACCACACACACAGACCACGTCACCACCACCACCAACCACACACAGACCACGTCACCACCACCACCAACCACACACACAGACAGACCACGTCACCACCACCAACCACACATACAGACCACGTCACCACCACCACCAACCACACACACAGACCACGTCACCACCACCACCAACCACACACACAGACCACGTCACAACCACCACCAACCACACACACAGACCACGTCACCACCACCACCAACCACACACACAGACCACGTCACCACCACCAACCACACACACAGACAGACCACGTCACCACCACCACCAACCACACACACAGACAGACCACGTCACCACCACCACCAACCACACACACAGACAGACCACGTCACCACCACCACCAACCACACACACAGACAGACCACGTCACCACCACCACCAACCACACAGACAGACCACGTCACCACCACCACCACACACACAGACCACGTCACCACCACCACCAACCACACACACAGACCACGTCACCACCACCACCAACCACACACACAGACAGACCACGTCACCACCACCACCAACCACACACACAGACAGACCACGTCACCACCACCACCAACCACACACACAGACAGACCACGTCATCACCACCACCAACCACACACAGACCACGTCACCACCACCACCAACCACACACACAGACCACGTCACCACCACCACCAACCACACACACAGACCACGTCACCACCACCACCAACCACACACACAGACCACGTCACCACCACCACCAACCACACACACACAGACCACGTCACCACCACCACCAACCACACACACACAGACCACGTCACCACCACCACCAACCACACACACACAGACCACGTCACCACCACCACCAACCACACACACAGACCACGTCACCACCACCACCAACCAACCACACCACACACCACCACCAACCACACACACACAGACCACGTCACCACCACCACCAACACACACACACAGACCACGTCACCACCACCACCAACCACACACACAGACCACGTCACCACCACCACCAACCACACACACAGACCACGTCACCACCACCACCAACCACACACACAGACCACGTCACCACCACCACCAACCACACAGACAGACCACGTCACCACCACCACCAACCACACACACAGACCACGTCACCACCACCACCAACCACACACACAGACCACGTCACCACCACCACCAACCACACACACAGACCACGACACCACCACCACCAACCACACACACAGACCACGTCACCACCACCACCAACCACACACACAGACCACGTCACCACCACCACCAACCACACACACAGACCACGTCACCACCACCACCACCACACACACAGACCACGTCACCACCACCACCAACCACACACACAGACCACGTCACCACCACCACCAACCACACACACAGACCACGTCACCACCACCACCACACACACAGACAGACCTTGCCACAGGTGGTGTCGTAGTAGTACCACCATAAACTGCCGTAATAACACAGTGAACAACAATTACCAAAATGACTTAACCCCGTCATAATGTTCACGCGAGTCTTGGACTCTCAGACCTTGGCACTTTGAACCTTCCTTTTCTGAACCACACATTCAAAGTCCGGGCCTTAACTCTGCGGACTTGTCACGAGTACTAACCACGTGGCCCCTAACTCTACGGACTTGCCAAGAGAACTAACCACGTGGGATATTTTCCCATCATAAATAACTTTACATACAGTAAAGTTTACAAAGCAGTTTACATACAGATAAAAACATTAAGAGAGGAGTGATCTGTGTCCTGAGAGTGAAGATGTGAAATTGGAATAAAAAAAATCAATGTGGATACTTATCCCAATCTCCCCCCCCCCTCTCCTCCTCCCTCCCCCCATACCTTGGTAAACTTAACTATTCTTTAGACACCAAGTTAAGTCAGCGGTAGTGTTTGTGGCGAGTGTTGTTTGTGAGGCAAACACCTCACACAATAAACAGATCACACAAAGCAACAAACGCACAGAAATCGGGAAATGGACGTGACAAAGTACTGAAGTTGCGGTCCACCCCCCAACCCCCACCCCGCAGCGGACCAGTCCCCCCCCCCTCCACCACCCCCCACCTTCCCCAACAATTATCACCCCCCCCCAACACTCAGCTGACACGCCCCCCCTCCCCGACACGCAACACAACCCCCCACCTTCATCTGGGTCCCCTTCCCCCCCCCAACCCTCAACAGACACCCCACCCCCCACCCCAACCCCCGGAGACACTCCTCAACACCTCCACCCTCAGACGGACAGAGAGAAAGATCTAGGAGTTGATATCACACCGAACCTGTCTCCTGAAGCCCACATCAAGAGAATAACATCTGCGGCGTATGCGAAGCTGGCTAACATCAGAACTGCCTTCAGGAACCTGTGTAAGGAATCATTCAGAACCTTGTATACCACATATGTAAGACCAATCCTGGAGTATGCGGCCCCAGCATGGAGCCCGTACCTTGTCAAGCACAAGACGAAGCTGGGAAAAGTTCAGAGGTATGCCACTAGGCTAGTCCCAGAACTAAGAGGCATGAGTTAAGAGGAAAGGCTGCAGGAAATGCACCTCACGACACTAGAAGACAGAAGAGTAAGGGGAGACATGATCACTACCTACAAAATCCTCAGGGGAAGTGACAGGGTAGACAAAGATAAACAGTTTAACACGGGTGGGACGCGAACAAGGGGACACAGGTGGAGACAGAGTACCCAAATGAGCCACAGGGACGTTAGAAAGAACTTTTTCATTGTCAGAGTAAACAAATGGAATTCATTAGGCAGTAATGTGGTGGAGGCTGACTCCATACACAGTTTCAAATGTAGATATGATAGAGCCCAGTAGGCTCAGGAATCTGTACACCAGTTGATTGACAGTTGAGAGGCGGGACCAAAGAGCCAGAGCTCAACCCCCGCAAACACAAATAGGTGAGTACGAGACGCCCCTTCCCCAACACTCGTAAACAATCCCCTACCCCCCCCCCTTCCCCCTCACTTTTAGTGTACGTCCCCTCCCCCACTATTCATCATCCCCATCCCTGACACTCCACAACACCTCACCCTGCTAACACTCCCCCCCCCTCCCCTCTCCCCCAGTCCGGAATACTCAAAAAATCACATTTCCTGGCTGACTGACCCCCTGTCACCCCAGCGAGGACCCCCCCCCCCCGCCCCCCCCTGGCATAACCTCTAACATTCACCCCCCCCCCCCGGCTGGCTCCCCCCCCCCCCCAACACCTCAACCACTGCAACCTCTATTCATGAGCTGTTTAGTTGTCAAGTCTAACACATAGGCCTAAATAATTTTTAATATTTAGAACTCTGTCCTCACCCGTCTCCCAGCCTGTCTTCACCCATCTCCGAGACTGTCTTCACCCGTCTCCGAGACTGTCCTCACCCGTCTCCCAGCCTGTCTTCACCCGTCTCCCAGCCTGTCTTCACCCGTCTCCGAGACTGTCCTCACCCGTCTCCCAGCCTGTCTTCACCCGTCTCCCAGCCTGTCTTCACTCGTCTCCGAGACTGTCCTCACCCGTCTCCCAGCCTGTCTTCACCCGTCTCCGAGACTGTCCTCACCCGTCTCCCAGCCTGTCGTCACCCGTCTTACTGTCACCGGGCGTCACTGGCGCTAACTCTACCTGTTTAATATATCATTAGTTGAAACTTGGTAAGCGAGGCGGGAAACCCACTTTCTTGTGTTGTGTCTTGTGCTGGCACCTCCACCCCCCACACCCCGGCCCTCACAGTTCACGGCTCCTTACGGTTCCTGTCCTCTCCTCTCACCTCACCTGGCCTCCCCTCACCCAGGTGCTCTCTTGTACCGACCGGGGCCTCACCCTACTAGCCTGAATTAGCGGGGCCTCACCCTACTAGCCTAACTTAGCGGGGCCTCACCCTACTAGCCACGGCCTCCCCCGACACCACAGTCCTGGCTGCCACAAGTATAAGTTAGATCTACTGGCTGCCACAAGTATAAGTTAGATCTACTGGTGCACACCTTTGGTCCACCAGGCTGTTGCTTGGAGCCGCCCACAGGCCCACATATCCACCACAGCCCGGTTGGTCCGGCAATTTTATTTTTAGATAACAGTCTAGTTTTCTCTTGAAGATGTCCACGGTTGTTCCGGCAATATTTCTTATAGTCGCTGGGAGGACGTTGAACAACCGCGGACCTCTGATGTTTATACAGTGTTCTCTGATTGTGCCTATGGCACCTCTGCTCTTCACTGGTTCTATTCTGCATTTTCTTCCATATCGTTCAGTCCAGTATGTTGTTATTTTACTGTGTAGATTTGGGACCTGTCCCTCCAGTATTTTCCATGTGTATATTATTTGATATCTCTCGTCTCCTTTCTAGTGAGTACATTTGGAGAGCTTTGAGACGATCCCAATAATTTAGGTGCTTTATCTCGTCTATGTATGCCGTATATGTTCTCTGTATTCCCTCTATTTCAGCAATCTCTACTTCTACCATCCCTCTACCTCTACCATCCCTCTACTTCTACCAGCCCTCTACCTCTACTTCTACAAGTCCTCTATCTCTACCAGCCCTCTACCTCTACTTCTACAAGTCCTCTATCTCTACCAGCCCTCTACCTCTACTTCTAGCAGCCCTCTACCTCTAGCTCTACTTGTACTAGCCCTGACTCACCACCTCACTGAGGGATGTGAGAGATCTTCCAGCCCCACCTAGACTCCTGCCTCTCCTCCCCGCGGCACCTCACAGCGGCCTGCTTCCATTTATTGTGAGCTTGTGCTCCAGCAGAGCCCCCAGAGCCTGTCCTGCTGTGTGTATTGTAACCCGGATCCTGACGACCCTGCCCTACCTTGACCCTACCCATGCCCATACTTCTTCCCTCCCTCCCTAGCCCCCCCTCACCCTCCTCCATCTACAAGCCCGGCACAAAAACGCTGCCTCCCTCATGCCTGCCTGAGAGACAGCCAGTAACGGGGCTTCAAGGATAACCAGCAAGCAGACTCCGGGTCCTCGTCGTTCACCCTTTGTTGTGTCCACACTAACGTCGCCCTACAGGGAAGGAGGGGTGGGTCTCTCTCTCTCTCTCTCTCTCTCTCTCTCTCTCTCTCTCTCTCTCTCTCTCTCTCTCTCTCTCTCTCTCTCTCTCTCTCTCTCTCATAAGAGAGTAGTTACCTCTCTTTAGACGGCCAAGTATTGTCTGTCTTTACATATGAACATGCAGATACTTATATTAGGAAATGGAACAGTTAGTGGCTTTGAAAAGTAGGAGGAGACGCTCTCTCGTGCGCGCGCTCGCTCTCTCTTTCTTGACAGGGAAGTGGCAGCTGTCTATTGGAGCACCGCTGAAGGAACAGGAACCTTCTCCACACCACTGGACGGCCTGCAGGTGGGCATGGAGAGGGGGGGGGGTGTAGCAGGTGGGTATAGAGGGAGGGGGTAGCAGATGGGTATAGAGGGAGGGGGTAGCAAGTGCAGGTGGGCATGGACAGGGGGGGGGGATGCAGGTAGGCATGGAGGTAAAACACTATACATGGTTCACCCCCCCCCCCCCCCTACACGTGTTCAGAGAGCTCTAAGCGCGCGCACTCCCAGCCTGCCCAGACCTGAGCGCAAGATTAGTTAATACTAGTTGACCTGTCAGTGACTATCAGTACATATAACACAATAAGCTATAACTACCCCTCGTTGCCCCCAGTCTGGACTACCAGGTCATCAGACTACCACATCACGGTGGCTAACATCGCCGGCGGCGGCCAGCACACACCCGGCCTCATCTGACAACGCCTACACCAACCAGTAAGGTTCTCCCAGTGACAACTTTTACCGTTGGCTCAGACTCTATCGCAATTTCTCGACTTAATACGCTGTCTTAGTTTGCATTAGAATACCTCGCACGAATACACATGCATCTTATATATATATATATATATATATATATATATATATATATATATATATATATATATATATGAGTTTTGGAGAACTCCTATTTCAATTAAGCTCTGATGCTAAGAAAATAGTTAGAGGGATAGAAGCCCTAAACCAGAAAATAATAAATACAGAATATGCGGTCATATTCAATGAAACATGTTTGAAAGAAAACCTGCTGCCAGTATACACCAATATATATATATATATATATATATATATATATATATATATATATATATATATATATATATATATATAATATATATATATATATGTCTTGGGCACTAGTCCAACTTCAGAGGAATTCGAAGAAGTGTTTGACTTGCAACAATGATCGAACCCGTCTGTGACATTCATCAATGTTTCCCATTGTTGTGTTTTTCAAGAGATCCATAACCTTTAAGCACCTTTTTGCATTATTATTTTTGTATCAACCCATGTATATCTTGTAACCATCAAATGCATAATAAAGCACAAAAAATAAAAAGGAAGGGGGTGGTAGGAGAAAAGCACACAGAAACTGTATTGGAGGGGATCTAAACCTTCCCTCTAATGCGTTATGCGTGGTTTCCTCCGAGGCTATGGGTCCCCCTTCTTCCAGCTAGAGGTGGTACTATATATATATATATATATATATATATATATATATATATATATATATATATATATATATATATATGACATTAAACACAACAGCATTGTGATCATTGTTCATTTTACACTCTGCTTTGAGGAACGGGCAGGACTTGAGAAAGTCTTTGAAGCTGTGAGAGGATCGTCTGTTTTATGTATATATATATATATATATATATATATATATATATATATATATATATATATATATATATATATATATATATATATATATAATATACAAGGGGGTACCTAGCATTTCCCGGGTATCTCTGTCTCCCATTTACCTACTCATCCATCTAGCTATCTATCCAACTCTCTATCCGCTTATTCATTTATCCACCTACCTTTGGACCCACCTACTTATCTTTATATCTATATATCTTTGTATTTATGTATCCATCAATATATGTATCCATATATCTACTCATTTATGCATCCACCTATCGATCTATCCATCCATCCATCTATACCTCTATCCATCTACGGTCTCTGTTTCTGTGTGTGTGTGTGTGTATCTTTGTCTGGGTCTAATATAATTGTCTGATGTGTGGGTGGTTGCCAGTGGAAGGAGCTCAGTGGTGTGAAATACTAAAAAAATTGTTACCCTGTACTCTGTTAAAGTACCGAGGCTTGCGAAAGCTCTGAAGCTGCAGAAGACTCGTCTGTTTTATGCCAGTACGGACAAATTATTGACAGCGGGAAATCCTGCTCATTTTCCCAGAGATCAGCGAATAATGCTGCATATTACTATAAGATTTTTTTTTATAAGTTTGTTTTCAAAATATTTAGTGAGAGAAATATATGTACTAGATATGACAGTAGAAAAATAGGTTGGAAGTTAGTGGGAAAATATAATGTGGGTAGGACTAACAAAATAGTGTCCTTCTGTTTCACAAAACACGAGACAGACTTCAGTTGGTGCCTCCAGACTTCAGCTTGAGACTCCAGACTTCAGCTTGAGACTCCAGACTTCAGCTTGAGACTCCAGACTTCAGCTTGAGACTCCAGACTTCAGCTGGTGACTCCAGACTTCAGCTGGTGACTCCAGACTTCAGCTGGTGACTCCAGACTTCAGCTTGAGACTCCAGACTTCAGCTTGAGATTCCAGACTTCAGCTTGAGACTCCAGACTTCAGCTTGAGACTCCAGACTTCAGCTGGTGACTCCAGACTTCAGCTGGTGACTCCAGACTTCAGCTGGTGACTCCAGACTTCAGCTGGTGACTCCAGACTTCAGCTTGAGACTCCAGACTTCAGCTTGAGAGACTCCAGACTTCAGCTTCAGCTTGAGACTCCAGACTTCAGCTTGAGACTCCAGACTTCAGCTGGTGACTCCAGACTTCAGCTTCAGCTGGTGACTTCAGCTGGTGACTCCAGACTTCAGCTGGTGACTCCAGACTTCAGCTGGACTCCAGACTTCAGACTCCAGACTTCAGCTGGTGACTCCAGACTTCAGCTGGTGACTCCAGACTTCAGCTGGTGACTCCAGACTTCAGCTGGTGACTCCAGACTTCAGCTGGTGACTCCAGACTTCAGCTGGTGACTCCAGACTTCAGCTGGTGACTCCAGACTTCAGCTGGTGACTCCAGACTTCAGCTGGTGACTCCAGACTTCAGCTGGTGACTCCAGACTTCAGCTGGTGACTCCAGACTTCAGCTGGTGACTCCAGACTTCAGCTGGTGACTGGTGGCCTAAAACAGGAGAGTCTGGGCTACAACAACCACGGTCGGGGTCTGCAACATTGATGCTAACCTATCGACCACACATTAATCAATACAGCGCCAAGTATATGCCTTCACTCGTGTTAAACCCAACTTGCCCATCACTGTAGTCATCACTGGTGAGGGTGATGAGGAACACCGCTTCCTGCCCAATATGTTCCGTGAGGCAATTCACTCATCACACAACCAATAAACCATTTATTATGAGTTGTGCTGAATTGGAGTGACGGTGTAAGATGTTTGAACTGACTTAGTAAGATATCTGAACTGGAATGACTATGAGAGATAACTGAATTGAGTGACTGGGTAAGATATCTAAACTATAGTGACTGGGCAAGATATGTGACTGTTCACCAAGCAGTAAAATGTACAAAAAACAGTGACTGTACAAAATATCTAAATTGGAGTGACCGTGCAAGATATCTAAGCTGAAGTGACAGTGCAAGATATCTAAACTGGAGTTACTGTGCAAGATATACAACCTATAGCGACTCTTCAAGATATTAAACTTGCGCAACGAGTTCTTCAAAGCCGTAACTGTTCCAGACACACTCTCACCCCCACACGCTTATGTGGATATTGTGATGGGGGGAGGGGGGGGGGGAGGGGGATGGATAAGAAGGGGGAAGTAGGGGGGGGGGGAAAGGGACGCGGTGAAAAAAATAGGGTGCTTGTAACCGGCCATTTTTTTTTTTTTTTTTTTTTTTTTAGCACTGCGCTGGGGAAACAATAAAAATTTAAATTAAAGGGAAACCGGTTTCCAGCATCAAAAATGCAGGTTATCCTCCATGCTGCCAGCTATATCTGTTTATACCTGTTGATGATTTCTAGAGTTGTTCTACTCCTGCAGACTGGCCTGTAAGTGGCTTACTTATCTTAAGTAACTAATTGGGTTAATATAAGTAAATATTAACACTCTAGACAACCAATCGACATCTTATCTTGAGATGATTTCGGGGCTTTAGTGTCCCCGCGGCCCGGTCCTCGACAGGCCTCCACCCCCAGGAAGCAGCCCGTGACACCTGACTAACACCCAGGTACCTATTTTACTGCTAGGTAACAGGGGCATAGGGTGAAAGAAACTCTGCCCATTGTGTCTCGCCGGCGCCCGGGCTCGAACCCGAGACCACAGGATCACAAGTACAGCGTGCTGTCCGCTCGGCCGACATGACTCCTCTTTTACACCATATCACGTATAAATTAATAGTATACATTTTGGCTTATGTATAAGTAAGAGCATGTACAGTCATGTATGTTGTATTAGTTACATTCATCAAGAGTGTTTACAACAAAGGTCAAAAGTAAACAAAGCCCGGTTTCCCATCAAAGTTTCCAACGTGGCCAAATGGGCTACAAGTCAAA